ATAGACCACTGCGACCCCGCCTCCCCGCCCTCCGGATCTCGGCTGGTGCTGCACGGAAAAACCTGGTGGGCATTTATATATTGGCATTTTGAATGAGAGTCAACATGGTATAGTGTGCTATGACACTATAGAGACCAGGGTTGAATTCCCCATTCAGTCATATAAATGCACTGGGTGATTTTGGGAAAGTCACATACTCTCAGCCCCAGAAAACTCCTTGATAGGTTTGTGTTAGGAAGGTACTTGAAGGCACACAACAAATTGATGTTTCATTGATGGCAGCTTTATATTTGAACAAGTCAAATTATCTTGTGGCATAAAAGTAATAACACTGGGCTTTAGTTTCTTGCAGTTACAGTTTTAAACATCAGTGAATGTCCATCCTTCATGTACTTCATGCCATTTTAGATGTTGTATTTCTATTTTAAGCCAAGAAATCGATTGCAGGAGTTGCTATTTACATATCATACACTAATTGTCCTGAAACAACATATTTTTGAAAACCTTGCAGCATGTGGTTCATCCATATTACATGATACTAAGTCAGAAGGGAAATTAAATATAGTCTGTTTTAAGCAACAGTGTGCAGAATATGTTGCCTTTTTATGAGAATGTTGAAAGAGCATATGAAAATAGTGATTTTATAGGCTTTATAGGACTAGCATATTTTACTATATTTCTGGATTCTCTGGGAGCCATTCCTTTTTCTCATGCTTCTAGATAATAAGTGTTTTACCCACAGATGGAAAGGATATAAATGATTGATGTTTTATTTTTAGAATGTCTAATTTCATTTCATAATTGAATACATTTCTATAAATATTGATGGTTTCATAATCAGAAGAGTCCACAGGCTGTAAGAGCCAAATACTGCCCTCCTGTATTTTGTCCCTTTTCTGCTACTTCCATATCTGCATTTGAAAAAAAATACTGAAAGTCACAAATGGATTCTCACAGCTGATTATAGTTTATCATCCGCAGCATCTGCAGGGATTGCTGTGTCACAACGGAAGGTGCGTCAGATCAGTGATCCTATCCAACAGATTCTAATTCAGCTGCACAAAATCATCTACATAACACAGGTATGTTTTGCCAATGTTTTCTTCGTGTGGATCAAGCAGAAAATCTCTGTCTGTTACTGTTCTATATTCACAGCAGTCATTTTCTTGGTCCCAGTTTGTGTTTGAGTGGCGGGTGGAAAATAATATGGGACTTAATCACATGTACATGCATTGTTTTCTGAATGCCCATGCCTATAAGCAAATCTCTAAAAACAACAAAAACAGCAACAATATTTATTTGTACCCTTCCACCATCTCTCCAAAGGGGACTCGGGCAGCTAACATGAGGCCAAGCCCAAAATTACAGTACAGCAAAATAAAATACAAAGAAGCAAAAATACCATCAAAATAAATACATGAATTAACAAAATAAACTGTTTCAAAATAACATGATAGAGAAATAGGACACAGTGGGCGGGCCAAATGTACTAGGATAAAATTGATAAAACCCTAGATGAGATAGGTAGTGGGAGAATATGTTTCTGAGGGATGAGCTCAAAAGGAACGAACAATGGGGTTAGCTATTCAGGGTCATCTCTAAAGATAAGCCAGAGCCCTCACTGAAATCTGAACACTGCTTATGACAGGGTCTCACTGTGCCTGCAAAAGCAACCTGAAAACACACTTTTATTCCAAAATATGTTTTAATTTTCTTTTTAAAATCAACCTAGAAAAGTGTTTTTATTTATTTATCCTGATAGTTAGTCCTTACTGTCAATTTTATCTTTTCCCAGAGTTAGAACTTTTCTAGAGCTTTCGTCCAGTAGCTTCTGGTTTTTTGCCTCTTTCTTATATCCCCATACCCACAAAAGGATACTTTCCTTTCATTCTAAGGTAGCTTTCTGATCTCTTGTTTTCTCTATTAGTATTTCCAGTGTTTAGATAAACCTTAACAGATTTTGTAAGGCCTATGTAGAAGTAAGACTAGTTTTCATTTGGTTCCTGTTCATTTTTTAAAATTTGTAATTATATGATTACTTATTGGAGAGGGACCCTATACAGAAACCATTAACTAACCTGTGGGCAATCCCTTTTCACTACCAAATATACCTGTTCATGACCATATACTTCAATATTAGGTGGAGCAAAGGACCTTGCTTTCCAAAATATAGGGAGTGCTCCTTTGCATGGTTTCAATCAGTTTGTAATATAAGTTATGAGGCCTTTTCATGGTATGCAATTAGAGCACTATATTCCACTATAACTCTTATGACATTAGTAGATATTGCAGAACTGTAGAATCAGTAGATACTGCAAAGCAAAAAAAATGGCATGAAGATAGCTAAACTGCCACATTTTGGATCAGCAAATAACTTTTACCCTAAACTTCTAAACATTCCTGTTTATTTTGACAAGTCACCTTGATTTATAATGAGGCTATGGTCGTCACAGTAGATTTTACTCCTGAGAAAATCAGCATAAGATTGCACTGTACACTTTCTTGTATCCAAACTTAGCTGTTACCCTCTAAATTCAGAATGTACTTCTGAATTTATTGGCAGGTCAACCCAGGCCCTAATCATATCATCACGTCATTTGGTCTTCATTCATTATCTTTGAGTATTTATTCAGCCACCTTCCTTTACACTCTTGTGGTCATCCTGTTATTCACTATTCTTGATGTGTGTTTTTTGTTCATGACCTCTTTGCTTCTAGGGGAAGTCTTATCATATGTTGTAAGATTTGTTACTTCCTCTATTTGTATCTTAAACCTGCTTGCTTTTTTATCAGGCTTTGCCAACTTTCCTCTTTTAAAAGCATAACTATTTTTTGTTCTTCTCAAAATCAGGGTTCACATTAGCAAGCCTGGTTAATATATTTAAAGCTTTTCTATAATACATTCCTTCACTCTGTAACAGAGATTCTTTGTTATGACTCTCACTGATCTCCTCCAAATTAAAATACAACCAAGGCTTATTACATCACTGTTGTATTTTGGGTGCTGCATAAGGCGTGAAGCAATGCTTCTATCAATGATTTCCCAATGTTATGTTCCATGCTGTCTTCAAGAAGGCATTCTGCTTGGCAAGATTTTGGAAACCATAATAATCCAGTTTCTCTCTCAAGTTCAGGGAAGAGGATTTTCTTCCTGAATGCACAACATTGAAGACATAAATGTATGTGATGAGCTATCTTACAAGACTAAGAAATATATCTTGTTTCATGTCCACACATTTAGATTTCTTCAAGGAATTTCTAAAATATTTTTTCTCTTGGTCAAGCCCCCCCTCTCCATTATGGAGCCATAGCTGTATTGTTAGATAGCTGATTATGAATTTTCACAAAAGGTGACAAATATTTTGTATTCCCTGAGATAGAAGTAACCTAGTAGTTATAATCAAATTATAAATGCTAGGGAACTCAGGGCGGCCTTACAAAGGCAACAATTCAATGCCATATATTAATTCATCGGTGAATAAACAAAAATGTTAAAACCAAACCCATTAAAAACATAGAATTAAAACATCCGTTAAAATCACATGATCCAAATTATATTCCAGGGCTGGTCCGAGTGGTCATTAGATTAATTTGTAGTCTCATATTGAACTATTCCTGTTACTGGTTGAAAGCCTGATCCCAGAGCCATATTTTCAGTTTTTTCCTGAAGGTCAGGAGGGATGAGGCAGATCTAATTTTACTGGAGAAGGAGTTCCATAGGCAAGGGGCCACTACTGAGAAGGCCTTGTCTCTTGTCCCCACCAGTTTTGCGTGCGAGGAGGGTGGGACCAAGAGCAGGGCCTCCCCCGATGATCTTTACCTCTGAGGTGGGTCATAGAGAGAGATACGTTCGCACAGGTAAGCTGGGACAGAGCCATTTAGGGCTTTATTGGCTAAAGCCAGAACTTTGAATTGTGCTCTGAATTGTGCTTGGAAGCAGACTGGCAGCCAGTGGAGCTGACGTAACAAGGGAGTTGTGTTCTCCCTGTACACTGACAGCTTCCCAATCAGTCTTCCTCAACCTGGCACTTTTCAGATGTGTTGAATTATAGCTCAATTCAGAAAGCATGATGGGAATTATAGCCCAATGTATCTGGAGGACATCAGGTTGTAAAACTCTTTTCTGAATTATTGTTGCTGTATATCAGTATTTTATGTGACACCCTTAAATTCCATGTTAATATTTGTCAAGAAATGTTCACTGTTAAGCAGTAAGTCCACTTATTTTAGATGGTTGGATATTAAGATCATATCTATATAGCTGTAACTAATATAAGATTTAGATGAGTGTTAAATGTATATTTCTAAGGAGTATCTGTTCAAGAAAAGAAAAAAGAAGAAGATAGAGCCAAAGAAAATTAACAGCGCATTTCTGCAAATCTCCACGTGTAAAACCAAATTAAAGATCTGCTTCGTATGTGTTAGGGAAGCATTAGAAGACCTGACTTGGCTGATCTTTCTGCTCCTTTGCTTGATGCTTTATTTTGGCCACAGGACAGTAAAAACGAATTAATTAGAGTTTGACAACATGAGTACTGAGGCATGGCTTTTTCTAATTTTCTGTTGAATCTTGACCAGAAGGAATATGTTTCTACTCCTGATAACTAAAGTTTATCACCACTTAGGTAATTTTACAACGCAGGAAATATTCCATTAAATCAATGTGCCATTAGTACTTTGGATTTTCATCAAATAATATGGAAGAGGAAGTACAGCAGCTCACTGATTAGGCCCTCGAGCTTTCAGATGCTTCTGTACAACCTATAGTGTTGTGAAACAGGGTAGGTAATTAAAAGCAAGTATTTAAACCCATCCATTGCAACTTTTCTCTAACAAGCAAAATAGCTGGAGTTCATAAGGCAAGAGTTCCCATTGTTAGTTCTGGGCTCCCAGCAGCCTTTCCCGTTCTGTTTCCATGGCAACAGGTTTCATTCTGATCTGGAAAAAATCTTACAAGCTTTAAAAAAATGATTATGTAAACCTCTTACCTTATTTCCACTCATTTGACATCTGAGTCTCTAAAAACAGAAGCAGGAATGAAAAGCCAGTAGTAGAAGCAACTTTGCACAATTTCTTTGATTGACGGTGGCCTCCCAGCCTCCTTATTTATTTGAAGGGAAACCAGTATGAGGAAACTTCTTTCTTCTCCCTTACCATGACTTTGGATGTTCATAGCTGATCACCTTTCAACACTTGTAAGTCCAAGCCAAGCCAGATAAATATACATTTCTTTCCTTTAACTATCTGCTATGTCAGTTGTGACTCATATTTCATTTCTAGAAGTGAAGTTGCTTCATCTTAAATCTATTTGAAAGTCTTAGAATCATAGAGTTGGAAGAGACCTCAAGGGACCTCCTGCCAAGAATCAGGAAAAACGCGTTCAAAGAACTCTCAACAGGTGGCCATCCAGCTTTTTTTTAAAAGCCACCTAAGAAGCCTCCAGGGCACACTCCAGGGCAGAGAGTTCCACTGATGAACAGCTCTCACAGTCAGGAAGTTCTTCCTAATGTTCAGGTGGAATCTCCTTTCCTGTAGTTTGAAGCCATTGTTCCGTGTCCTAGTCTCCAGGACAGCAGAAAACAAGCTTGCTCTCTCCTCCCTATGACTTCCTCTCACATATTTATACATGGCTATCATGTCTTCTCTCAGCCTTCTTCAGGCTAAACATGCCTAGCTCTTTATGCTGCTCCTCATAGGCTTGTTCTCCAGATCCTTGATTTTAGTCACCCTCCTCTGGACACATTCTAGCTTGTCAACATCTCCCTTAAAATACGGTTCCCGGAATTGGACACAGTATTCCAGATGTGGTATGATCAAGGCAGAATAGAGGGGTAGCATGAGGGGTAGCATGACTTCCCTGGATCTAGACACTATACTCCTATACTCTTGATACCTGGTATGTCTGGATCATATCATGAAATCAATGCAGCCCATCTATTTTTCCCTTAAATCATCCATATCCCAACATCAGTATTTTAGTGCATATTAAAAGTTATCTCATGACTTCATTTTTTAGGATCCATCCTTTAAATTTATTGCATACCGAACAAAAAATGTAGCATATTGTGTGAGAAACACATATGTTTGGAATCATGTGTATAGCATGGATGCTTATTGTGAGCCATTGTCTCCCAGCTATATTGATATTTTTTTAAAGTTTGGAAGCTAAAGTATTTGAAAAATCTGCAGTTAAAGCTTTAATCAATAAAGAAGGAAGAAATAAGCCTTAGTTTAAAAATATTATTGATACAGCATCTTTAGTGCACATTAGCTTTACACCGTATCAGAAACAAAGCAAAACAAAACAGACAAAAATCTTTTTTTCTAAGGAGTGCAGAATTTAAATATAGATAGACAAGAATGACCAAGTGTGAACATGAAAAAATTTGCATCAGCACAGGATTTTTTCTTGTCTTGCTGTTGATGTTTGCATCCTATGTTCCTTCCATTATTGGATTTTTGGTAGTATACATGAGTTTCCCAGGTAGTTTCCTGTTTAAGCCCATTTCAGCAAGACTACTTAAATATGTGTCTTGAGATGATGCTCTAGGACTGGTTCAGTTGTTTCCATTTCCTTTGGAGGTCAAGTCCAAGGTCACTGCATTATTTTAGTATTTGAATATGAAGGAAATATTAATTGAATAGATAGTGGTGTTCAGAAAGAGTAGAAATGTTTCAGAAATAAGGAAAAGGTGGAAAGAATGGAATCTTTTGCTGATACCAAAATATGCCAGATTTGAAATACTAAATCCACCTTTGTAGATCAGCACTTAAGGGTCAATCAATGGGGGGGGGGGGGGGGAACAATTAATTTGGAAGTGGAAAATGTATTATGATAGTGAGATATGTTGAAGATATCCTGATAGTTTATAGCCTACACTTGGCCACAAGTGGAGTTTTTAATATTAGACTTTCTGAAAAGACTCCAGTTTGGATTTCTGTTTTTCTTCAACTTACTTAGGAGGAGTTGTTATGAGTAACCTGATTAGGATGAGTAACCTGAAGCCTCACGCCTAATAGTACTAAACTGTTTTGCATCATTACTGAATAAGGACATTTAGTGACTGCTATATAAATTATTGTTAGGGGAAGTAATGATGAAAAAAGAAGCATTAGCATTTCTGTCCTGAAAATAATCATTGAATTTGTGAAAGTTGTATAAACAAAGGGGATAAAAGAATTTCCTAAAATAAAATTGTGCATGCTATTCACTCACTTTATTCCTTGTAGCAATGGTTATGTTTTCACATTTCTCTTTACAATATGAAAGAATACTGAAAGCTATTAACTTTTTCTTGCATCTTGAAACAGCTTCCACCAACCTTACACTGCAATTTGAAAAGAAGAGTCATTGAGAGATTCAAGAAATCATTGTTTAGTCAGCAGAGCAATCCATGTAACTTGAAAGCAGAAATCAAAAAGGTGCAGTATTCTAAATTTCACTCCAGAAGTAAACTTGGTTTTGTTGCTGTTGTAATTGAAATATGGATCACATATCCATAAAGAATGCATGCCCTTGGTTAGCATCTCACCATCATCCTTGAAAATAGTTATTTGGAAAACAATTTGCTTTAAATTTGAATTAATTTATTTTGAATTACTATAAATTGACTTTATAAACAATAATTAGTTGTTTGAAATGGTAAAATTAATCTGGAGACAAACAGCAAATTAAATGCTGGATCTACTATTTCCAGTGTTAAAGTAGATCCATTAAAATGAATAGGTTTTAAGTTAGGTATGATTAAGACGTGCCATTCATTTCAGTAGCTCCATTTAGGTTAGCATTATTGATAAATTTAGTCCAGAGGTGCATTTTTTTTTAAAAAAAAAACTTAATCACTGCAATATGCATAAAACAGGGGAAGAAAGCCTGATATCTGCTTATAAATAGAGATATTAAAACCATTGCTGGTTGAGACTGAAGAATTATCTTTCATCAATATGATCATGAAGTAGGGATTCAAAAACAAAATGATAAGAGTATATAATCACTATATAATGCTTCATAGAATTTAATGTATAAGTAATTGCATAATGATTTAGATCTCCTGTTTTCATAAAATGTATTGTTGTGGTTGTAAACAATCAGTTTGGAATAATAGCAATGGCAGCCTGACTGGCTGTGATGCAAAGAGTCCCATGTAAATATTCACAGAGCAGTCATCTGTCTGTCTGCTTTATTGTAAAAATGGGAGATGATTTTGAGTGATTTGTATTTTGAGTGGAATTGCAAAAGGAAAATTAAAAGGCAATGTCTCAGGCACTATAAGGGGAAAAGCTTTAACCTCTAGACACTGACATTTTTCTCAGCCTGACCAGAAGGCAATGAAGTTGTCAATTTGGGCTTTGATGCTAGATATTGTTGACATAACCCAGCAAGCCTTAATTCTGTTCAGTGCTTTCCAGCATTCTCAGGCATTGAGAGTCACATTTGTATACAAAACTTTGGATATCATCCAGTGCAGAATAATAATTTTGAAAACTATAGAAAAATGGTTTCAAAGATATTGAGGAGAGCATCACAAAGACGGTATTCTCACAGAGCAAGTAAAAAAAGATACCAGCAGTCCATTTGGCCATAAAGTGCACTAAATATTCTGCCAGTTATCCCAACAGATGGGGACAGATTGTGATATAGTTAGTTTCTGTTTTGATATTCACAAGGCTCAAAAGAATTAGTAACATGATAACATAGTCAGATACATTTACATTCATAGGGTACTACTCTGTCTCTGTTTAAGACCAACTTCCAAATGCTGGAATAAAGTCCTTGCATGCTTTGGAGAAAATCTATATAATTAATGAAAACTCTGGTATTAATTTCTGCTTTGTCAAGTCACATGTCTTATAATGCACTTTAGAGGCCAGCAGTGTCTCTCCCCCAATCCTAACCCTAACTCCAACCCTCCAAATACTCCAGTCAACATCTATGGCCATCATCTGGGTTATCTTGATAGCTGTTATTTGGTAACTGAGGGCAGAGCCTATTTAGTTTTGATAGTGCAGACTGATTGCTACTTTATTTCTTTTTTGTTATTTGAGATCCCATTTTATGTCCATGCTTGTTTTGTCATTGATATAAATATCACTAAAGCAACAGATTCCATCTGATCTAGGAAGCTAAGCAGTATCAGCCATTTTTAGTCAGATGTCCTAAGTTATATTTTAGGGGAAGGAAATAGCAAAATCACTTCTGAACATTCCTTGCCTTAAAAAACCCTATACAGTAGAGTCTTGCTTATCCAACCTTTGTTCATCCAATGTTCTGTATTATCTAACGCAGTTAGCCTCCCACCCGAATCCACAATAAATTGGGGTGTTTTGGTGCTAAATTTGTAAATACAGTAATTGCTACATAACGTTACCATGTACTGAGCTACTTTTTCTGTCGATTTGTTATAAAATGTGATGTTTTGGTGCTTGAGTTGTACAATCATAATGTAGTTTGATGTTTAATAGGCTTTTCCTTAATCCCTCCTTATTATCCAACATTTTTGCTTATCCGATGTTCTGCCGGCCCATTTATGTTGGATAAGCGAGGCTCTACTATACAATTTATGAGGTTGCCATAAGTAGAGAGGTGACATGAAGGTACACACATAGATTTATAATTGTTGTCCTGATTATTTTATTTGTTTACATTTCTTTTAAGTTACTGTGTTATTGCAAGGAAAAGTAAAATAACAAGTATAAAATAAATAATAACAACAATAATCCAAATCAAATTATTTTTTTATTTATGAGCCACAATAACACAACCTTACCCACACTGAAGCCTGAAAGTAGATCAAAAGATGTGCTCTTTCTTGCACATTCATTGATCTTTGTGTTGGATGTTACATTGCTGTGAATCCACTGCTTTTATGGCATGTGGTAAAATCTCTGTGATTCAGGTAGAGGACAAGTGAAATCACAGTTTTCCTTTAATCTCTCCGTCCAAATTAGAGTGTGTCTGCTTTTGTGCTTGGTCATCCTGCACATGACCTTAATTTAAAAATAGTGCATCGTGCCATGTGTCTATTCCTGGATAGGGTTTTCTGCATAGATTCTCAGTATCACCTCAAATATTCCCCTTGTGATATCAGGGCAAATCTAGTTGTCTTTTCATAATGGTGATCTATGTAGAAAAATGTTAATTATGATGTGTAAATAATATCTAGAGCTCATTTACCTCACCCATGATTTACATTTCCAGCTTTTCTCTCATTTTTAAATGAATAGGCTGGAAATGTTCATGGGAAAGTGGAAGCGAAAGGTGAGATGTAATTGAAATGAGCAGGATATTCCCCAGAGGCAGGGAGAGTGATCCATAACCAAGTCCTAATGCACCTTTGCCAACACTCCTCCTGCATGAGTTGAATACACATCATATAGTAAAACTGAAGCAGGCAACAGCATCTGAGTTGTGAACTTTTATTTCTGTAAATGAAAATGACAGTATGCTGACTTTAGCTCAAAACTGCAAATTAAACTTGATAGTCTTTAATATGAAAACCTTAAAGGAATTTATATTTCTAGAAAGTTATTCATCTGTCTGAAGCCAACCAGTGCAAGGATGACTACCTGTCACTTTCAGGATTAGACATATTATTTGGTATGCCAGCTGTCACTTTTCTGAGCAGTCTTAAAAGGGTAGAGTATCCTGGAAGGATTAACACAATTGAATTCACATTATCAGTGGATCAAAGCACTCTGTTGTGATGCAGCTCAGGACAATAGCCACTTATAGAGTGTGGAAAAAAATAACATTAAGGATTCAGATTTTCCTGTACATAGATGATATAGCTATGCTGCATTGAGTCCTTCTGTTGAGAAAAAGGTGGAAATAATAAATACATAAATGGCTACCCTGTTCTCATGATATCAAGCACTTTCATATATATTTGTAGCTATGACGGAGTGTTATGCAGGGACCCACCATACCAAAACACTTAGGTGGGAGGGTGTGGCAGGAAGAAGACTGGCTGCAGACTAGAAAAAGTAGCAGCATTGGTTGACATTTATCTTTGGCCTTTTTGCAGCTTCTCCAAGGTTCTCCAGAGCTGATTGAGCCTCACGTTTTGACATCAGATTATCACCTGTTGTTCAATTCTTCAGCGGGAAGTACCTTGGTCCTGGATGATAGACCAGGTAATTTTTGTTAGAGTTCATTTCTGAAGTAACAAGTAGTAAGTGATGTAAGGATCAATGCAGCAAGGAATGAGCCAAACCACCTGGCCAACATTGTGTAGTTACAGCCAGGGTGGGACAGCTGCAGGGGGAATAAAGGAACCAAAGTACAACTCCTTTGTGTGGATTATTGGAGAGATCAGAGGAGTTCTCTAGAAGGAGTTTGGAGTTCTACGTGGCTTGTGTCTCAAGGAGAACATTTGGAGTCTGTATGTATATATGTTTTTTATAAACTCTGCAAAAGACAATGACTGAGTTTGTTCAAAGGCAAAAGGCTTCTGTGTTTGTGAGTATCTACATTCATCTTCATCATGACAATTGTAGCAGACACCATTATATTCACCCATTAATGATAATATTGGCCATGTTTAGTCAAAACAAATTACTGATAATTTGTATTTAAACAACAAATTCTCATCTGCTCTAGCCAGCATTGTCAGTGCTCAGGACTGGGGAAAAGTGCTCAGGACTGGTGAACTTTTGTTGTGGAGCTATATATATTGGTATATAGGTCATGTGAGAACAAATTTTATGTAGGAAACAATTTTGAAAGGGAGACACATTTTGTGTACTTTCCTGTGATAAGAATCAAAATATAAATTCGGCATATGTATGTGGCCAGGCATAACAAAGTGTGGTAAGTGTGTGTTTTTGTGTTCTGCTATTCTCTCTTTTCCTCCCCGCTTCTCTTTCATCCTTCTGCTGATACAGATAAGATGTTACATAAGACCAAATAACACAATATAGGAGTTTACAGAGGGCATTGGTATTTTTTAAGAAGCTGATGGGATGAGCATCATTTGCTTTCCTCTCAAAAGTAGACAGCTTTTGAAATAGACTTTAAAAAGTCCCAAATCCACTCTCTTTACTGGTGATCTCATCAGAACTTGTTCTATTCTGTGCTTTTATGCCCCCCTTCAGGATTTTCTCTAGTTACAAAAAAGACATATAAGCCGAGTGTGTGGATGGTGAAATATTTCTGTCCAATTTTTGTTATCTAGTTCACTTTTTCTTAAGCTATGGGTCCTGACCCCAAGTGGGGTCCCCTTAGTTCAATTTTAGAGTCACAGTAAAAGGTTTCTGAACACAACCCATTTACAGAAATCTGTTAGCATCAACGTTTACAGTGGACTGTGCAGAAAATACTGTACTTCACGAAAAGGGGAAATTAGCCTGTTTAGTAAGTCTTCCAAATGCTCCTTTATTATCAGTAAATGTTTGGTTATTATATCAAATTTATATACCTGTGTATCAGGGTCACGTAAACCTTTCTTGGGCAGAAAAGGGTCACAAGTGGAAAAGTAGCCCTTATCTAGTTAACAATAGGACTTCATGAGAAAGTATGTTTGCATTTCAGGGCAAACCTTGTACCTTTGAAATGTAACTATTACTTAAAATGCAGTTTGCTCTTGAAATCTGCATATTTTCAAAACCTGCAAAACAATTTTCTCAGGAGTGGTATACATTTGAAAACATACAGTCAAAAGACTTACACATTGTTTAAAAATCCATCAACATGCTTATATTGTTAAAAACAGTTAAATGTTTTCCAGTAGAAAATCAAAAATAGTTGGAGAAAAAAACATATTAGTGCATTAAAATATGCATGCAGAAATCAGTACAAAATTTCATGGGAGTTACAAAATTGCAGTTCAGTCCAGATACTACAAAAGAAAGAAAAATAATAAAGAATGAACTGCTAAAAGCAGGATCTTAATAAATGAGAATATAAAATTTAAAAAAGGGAATTCAAACAAAATTCTAATTGACAGATTATCTCATTCTGGAATAGCTGTGGCCTGAAATGAAATGTAAGCAGTCGGGAGTGCTTTGATTCTGATTTTCCTACTTCTTGGCATGGGGTTGGACTGGATGGCCCATGAGGTCTCTTCCAACTCTGTGATTCTATGATTCTATTTATTGGACACTGAATGGGAATGTTCTTAATGGGAGTTAGCCCCTTGTCTAGTTGAGCAGATAGTTTTCAGTTTATTCTGACAGTGCAATGGAAGAGGGGGAGCAGAGCATAGTATCATGGAGTTGGAAGAGACCTCATGGGCCATCCAGTCCAATTCCCTGCCAAGAAGCAGGACAATCACATTCAAAGCACCCCCGACAGATAACCATCCAGCCTGTTTAAAATCCTCCAAAGGCGCCTCCCCCACACTCCAGAGAAGAGAGTTTCACCGCTGAACAGCTCTCATAGTTAGGCAATTCTTCTTAATGTTCATGTGGAATCTCCTTTCCTGTAGTTTGAAGCCATTTTTCTGTGTCCTAGTCTCCACAGCAGCAGAAAACAAGCTTGCTTGCTCCTCCCTATGACTTCCCCTCACATATTTATACTTAACCTTATACTTATTTCCACTTAGCCTTCTCTTCTGCAGGCTAAACATGCCCAGGTATTTCAGCCTGCCCTCATAGGGGTTGTTCTCTAGACCCTTAATCATTTTTGTCACCCTCCTCTGGACACATTCTAGCTTGACAACATCTCCCTTAAATTGCAGTGCCAAGAATTGGACACAGTATTCCAGGTGTAGTCTGACCAAGGTAGAATAGAGGGGTAGGGCAAAATTTTCCCATAAATCATTGCATCATTATTTGATCAGAAGAGTAGTATTCATTTTGCTCCATATCTTGGCTCCTATGAGGACTAGAGAGTTGCTTTTTGCAAACAGGCACTGGATAAGATGCCTTGATTCCAGATAAAGCTCAGGTGACAGGATGATCTAACAGCACTAATTCCATTACATATTCTCCTGTACATGCACTGCATCTTCCAAGCCCAGAATAGATTTCTTATTAATTGACAAAAGTCTAACTATTGATCCTTTTAATTCATGCTTTTTTGCTCTAACTTTGTCTGGGACCAAAATGATTGTGAAATGTTCCTCTTCTATCTAAAAATCAGCCAGTGTCCAATACGATTGTGATTTTGTTTGGTCATTATTGTAATAAATGATATCATAAATAATGATAAATATATATAATTAAGAATACAGTTCCTATGTGGCACATAGTTGTATGAGCCTTATCTTGATATTTAATTTACTTGTAGGTCTTCCCAGAACTTTTGACATGAATGAAGGAATGACATACGAACAAATGCAGGTAAAACATTACATTGTTTTAGCAATTTTGTAAATTCTTGTAGTTCCATTATTGTAACGCATAATAAAACTCCGAGTGCTTGATTTTCAGTCTGTGATTGAAGAGGTTCTGGAGGAATGTGGTTATTACCGTTTCACTTCAAATAGGTAAGTTTCATTTGCTTGCCCCTTTTCTTCTTTCCTTTTGACAGCAAGCAAAGCCCTACTTATTTAGACAGGATTTTGGCTATCAACTGAGTTTGTGTGTTTACTTGCATGTTATGTTTAAAATGCTTTTAAGCTGTTTATGCTGCATTTAATGAGATAGATTTTAAAACATTTTTTTTAAAATTATAATAATTATTTTGTAGTTGTATTTTATTTTAATCTGTGTTTTAAACTGACTTGAGTTCCATATGTGGAGGAAGGTGGAAGGTTTAATGCACGCACGCGTATTTAATTTTAATTGAGTGCATGACTTTATGATAGGCAAGCATGTGCTACACAGAAATCATAATATTTTAGCCGATATTTTGAGTAGCCATAGCTGCTAAATTAACAAACAATAGCACAATACCTTGTGATATATTTTCGCATGTTACGTTATTTTCCTCAGAAAAAATTGTCCAAAATGAGGAGGCTTGTAATCATTTTTATAGATGTGACTTCGTTATACATGTCCTTGTAAAAATAAATATATGTATTTCAGAGCTAAAAAGAATCTATCTGATATGATGTTGGAATGTAGCACAAAAGAACTAGTGTGAGAAAGTAAGATAGAAATAAAATTTAGAAGTATTTGAAAGAAACTGTCCACTGTGAACAACAGTGACTAAAGGTTCATCTACAATCTAGAATTAATACAGCTTGACACCACTTTAACTGTCTCACTGCTATGGAATCATGGGAGTTAGTCTAGTGAGACACTAGCACTCTTGTCAGAGAAACCTAACAACCTTGTGAAAACTTCAGCACCTATGATTCCATAACATTGAGCCACAGCAGTTAAAGTGGTGTCAAGCTGTATTAATTGTACAGTGTAGATGCATACTAAAGTAGCCATTATTCTGACTTCAGTAACTGCTGCCTTTTCCTCCTCTACGATGGTTCATAATAAGTGCAAGCTTTTCATTATTGACCACAATATCTCTCTAGTTGATCAATTTACTGGTAATTGGAATCCAATGGTCATATGAAAATATGAACCGTCTTTATATTGAGGCACATTGTTACAATAATTAATGCTACCTATATTATGTATTTAGACTGGCAGTAGCTCTCAAAAGATCTTATGTTCAATTCTATTTCTCCCTTCCATCTCAAAGCTACTTGGTTATAAACCAATGACTAATTTCAATGACAAACTGGATGAAAGTGAACAAATGGAAGCTTACTCAGACTGCAAATTGTTTATGTCTCGATATCTAACACTCTTCCATTATCTGGGAGGAGGCCACAAGGGGGTGCTAGAGAGAGAAGGATAGTCCATTTTACAGGGATGGGGGAAGTAGAAGGAGGAAAACAATTTCCCTGGTTTCTCTGGTTATTCCCACCCACCTACCCCCCTTCCCAAGTCATAAACAAGGGTTGTTTCCATGATGGGGATATGGGTGGGGGGAATAACAGGAAAACAGGAGGAAATGGTTTCCCTCCTTCAACTCACTGCCATAAAATGGACTATATTTATCTCTCTATTGCCCCCTTGTGGCCTCCGCCCAGATAACAAAAGAGTACCCAATATTCTTCACCTATAATTTCTACCAATTTCTGTAGTCATTGATAAGTTGGGATTTCACTTATCAACTGTTCTGTAAGTGAAAAATAGCCTAGCAACTTCCACAGGGGGAGGTGATACGTCTTCCTTATTATTCTGCTGATACATCTTCTATATGCCAGGTTAAAAGCAGAAAGGGCCAGCCATGGCTAGGTGAGTATAAATGTTATGGATTTTCTCACTCCATAAAAACACTTACAGCTCCTTAAATCTTAGGTATCAATATTATCCATGGGGAGTAAGGAATCATCCAGCCAGAAGATGAGCACCTGGATTTCTGTCTAGATTGGCATGTTTTGTAATGAGGTCTAAGTGCCTTGACTTCAGCTCTTATTGTCTTATTGCCAAAGGGAAGCACTTTCCTTAAATCACAAGAAGAGAAAAATCATTATGTTCGAAGGAGCTTACAAAGAGTCATCCAAGCAGTAGAATGGAAGTATACCACTCTGACAGTAGGTGATGGCCGCACATTTTTCACTAGCAATATACTTTTTTGTATGTGTACTATGGACAGTCTTCTGTAGATCTGCATCAAGAGGAAAACATAATGCTTCCAGTGAATTCTTTATATTATTTGGAAAGCACTGATGGTTACTCAGGATTGTTGGAAACATTTTCATTTTTTAGATTTGCTACTATATCAGAGATTTATATTCATATGAAGAGTATATTTTATAATTAAAACATATCAGACTGCGGGTGATGAATGAATATTTAACATCTTTGCTAGGTCAGAACAGGAAATTATCTCAAATCTATTTAGAATTCAGATTAATTCACAGTAGTCACCCTAAATATATGTAGCCTTTGGGGTATTGGGGATTTCTGCTGTAGACAGTATTAACGTGTCTGTAACTTCTGTTAATTGTTTACTATCAAAACTATAGCTTTAAGGGAATTCAGATTCTATAAACAGTGAAATGGTATTGTACATAATAAACTTCAAAAGGATATATTTGTATGCAATGTTATATATAGCTATATATAGATACATACAGGCATATACAAATAAATATATTTAAGTGTATTTTTATTGATAGATTAGCACACAATGCACTTTGGAAAAACTATATGTTTATGAAAAATGCATGTAAAATGTGTATGTGCAATTGATTTTTACCAAAATGTTTTTCTCTGAAATTTCAGCTACAGTGACTAGATATATTGTCTAGAATAAATTTTAATTCGATACATTTCATGGTAGATCTCCAGATTTCAATGGACCTTCAATGCTTCTCTTCATTTTAACTCTGGGTTTTTCTGTATTTAAGAAGGGGTGACATACAAGACTGTACAAATGGTTCATGAAACAGGACTTTTCCTCTCCCTTATCTACGCAAGAAGTCTCTCAAAAACTCTTTTGATTTTCAAGAGCAGAATTGGATGAGGATACAGGAGCTGGAAATTTTGTTCCACTTGTAGTATCTGTTATTTTGGCAGATGGACACCATTATATTCATCCTTAGTGTATAATGTACATGTTAGGGGTATGCGAAATGGAACAGAATCTGTTGTTTTTGGCCTCCCCCTCCCAGTTCATTTTTCAGGAAGATTCTTCATGAAACTAAACAGAACAGATACGCACACACCTAGTATGCATGCACTGATGTTGTTTTTAGTAGGTAAAGTTCCCCTGAGATTAGGTCTAGTCATGTCTGACTCTGGGGGTTGGTGCTCATCTCCATTTCTAAGCCAAAGAGCTCAGCATTGTCAATAGACACCTCCAAGGTCATGTGTGTAGCATGACTGCATGGAGCACCGTTACCTTCCTGCAGAAGAGGTACCTATTAAGCTATTCACATTTGCATGTTTTTGAACTGCTAGGTTGGCAGAATCTGGGGCTAACAATGGGAGGCTCATCCTGCTCCCTGGATTCAAACCGTCAACCTTTCTGTCAGTAATTTCAGCAGCTCAGCAGTTTAACCCCCTATGCCACCAAGGGGCCCTGATGTTGTTTCTAGACTATTATTTATTACACACCTTCATTACTAATGAGTGTATTACTAATATAGAGAATAACCTCATAGTTTAAGATAAATTTAGAATGTAGGATAGATTTTATGTGTCCCCATTGTCCCCATCTCAGCCTGGCATCATCGTTAATTAACTTTCATATCAGCCAGAAAAAGAACTATTTGAAAACTGGAAAACGCACTTCAAGAACACCATGAGCAAAGGGTTTTTTTTAAGTAAAGCATTATTGCAGTGCTTTGTGCTTTCCATCAAGGCTATGTTCCAGCAATGTTTGCTGCAGTAAGTATGTACAGTCTATAGTGAAAATACACTTCCCAAAACACTCAGTGGATCATCTTGGGCAAAGTTACAAGCTAGGAAAAGGATGACCATTTCATTTTTGGAGCGTCAGATGTTTATCCTGGTGAAATCATCTAAATGACTCATGGATGATGAACACTTCTGTAACAAGGTAAGAAATATAGAAATTCTTGTAGGTTCTAATGGATGCTAGCTAATAGTAGCACATTTAGCTGTTTGGGAATAGTACAACAGCCAAGGCTGGAGTTAAAATTGCTGGAAGAAACATTAACAACTACACATATGCAGATGATACTACTTCGATGGCTAAAAGCGGGGAGTGGCTGAGGAGCCTTCTAACCAAGGTGAAAGAAGACAGTGCAAAAGTTGGGTTGCAATTAAACATAAAAAACCCAAGATTATAGCAACCAGACTGACAACTTGCAAATACAGGGAGAAAATATGGAGGCAGTGACAGACTTTGTATTTCTAGGACAAAGATTACTGCAGATTAAGACTGCAGCCAGGAAATCAGAATACGTTTACTTCTTGGGAGAAGAGCAATGACCAATCTCAATAAAATAGTGAAGAGTAGAGACATCACATTGGCAACGAAGATCCGCATAGTTAAAGCAATGGTATTAGTAACCTATGGATGTGAAGGAAGGAAGATAGATGCATTTGAACTGTGGTGTTGGAGGAAAATTCTGAGAGTGCCTGGACCACAAGAAGATCCAGCCAGTCCATACTTCAGGAAATAAAGCCCGACCTCATTGGAGAGAAGGATATTAGAGGCAAAGATGAAGTACTTTGACCACATAGTAAGAAGACAGGAAAGCTTAGAGAAGACAATGATGCTGGGGGAAATGGAAGGGAAAAGGAAGAGGGGTCGACCAAGAGCAAGATGGATGGATGGTATCCTTGAAGTGACTGGCTTGACTGTGAAGGAACTGGGGGTGGCCATGGCCGACAGGGAGCTCTAGCGTGGGCTGGTCCATGATATCACAAAGAGTCTGAAGCGACTGAATGAATAAACAACATCATTACATGTCTACCAACAATTGTTTGGATGTATAAAACCGGGAGCATTTTTCTTCTCACACAGACATTTTCACACTCCCCCAAAATTTGTTCCTGAGGATCACTTAAATAATTTTTCATAGCAACATGAAATGTAGAATGGGAGAAATTAATTGGGATAGACGAATTGAAATTTAGTCACAGAAGAAACTGCCAGGAAAAATCACACACAGATTTACATACCAATACATAGACACATTTTATGAGTTTGAGCTAAACCAACATAGAGATGCCTCTCTTGCTTTCCACCATCCATCTCACAGCAGGATATATACTCTCAATTCTAATTAACCATATGGCCTGCCATAAATTTCATACCATTGTTGATATTACAAGGAATCTAGGATCGCTCTTTCTCTCTCACACACACACACAATATACACACAGACATAGACATATACATATAATTGGACTTGTAACTCATGTTGCTATGAAAATCTACAGACCAAATGCTTATACAATGAAACTCAATTTCAAAGTACCATCTGTAATGCCCTGTTAAATTGTGAAACAGGAACCATTCTGAAGAGTGATTACACATTTTGAAATTTCAGATAATAAAGTATGCTGATTACTTTTAGAAACACACGTAATTATACTGGTAACCTTCAAACTTATTCATCATCTTGGGAATAGCAAGGTAATCATGGCATCTTACTATTTTGAGAATATATATCACAATCACTGGAGAGCAGAAGAATTTCCATTTGTAATATTTCTGATTTAATCGTTTGGTGAAGAGAGAAAAATTCCTGCTCTCTAAAAAATAGGAATATACCCTGAGCACAAGGTTCTTTTTGAACCTAAATGTGGTACTTCAGAAAATGGCCAGAATGTTTCAACCTGGGCCCCAAATCTGCCTCAGAATTCATAAATCTGAAAGTTCATGTTTCCTATTCATTTTCTTTAGAAATCCCAAAAATACTTAGAACATGAATTCTCATTTTTAGGACGGGAGAAAATAGTTGGCTTATCGACTGTATCCATGGGGTTACGCCTGCCAATGTGCAGTTAAATATCAGGAATCATATCTGGTTAGATTTGATGAGAACTTATTCATAAATATGTCTAGAAAAAGACTCCTCACCATCACCTTTGTTACCTTCTTCCACTGTTTCCCCCCATTTTCTGCTCCCACTTCCAATTGCTATCCTAGAAGACAGAGAAACTCTTACAAACATAGTCTCTACATTCCATGGATAATTTTTCCAGGTGTGCTTTAGTCATAGTCAGCCATGTGAGGGCAGTGGACTGTGTGGATTTACGTATTAGCCTGCAGAAAGGCCAAGGCAGCTTGTTCTTTTTTGAAAGTTTTACAAGATGTGAGCCACAACAACCGTGAAGATTTGATTATTTTAACCTGGAGCTATGCAAGAAAATACTACTTTTTCCTCTACCAACCACCCTCCTTTGTAGTGGTATTGAGTGTTGTCTCTGCTCACAAAAAAACAAAACAAAATCACCTTATGGATTAATGCTTACTTAGCTTTGAACCATGACAAAGATGTGCCTTGTTCTGCAGTAACAGGAAACAGGTGTGAAATCAACATTAATTATGCTCCTTCAATACTAATAGTGGGAAATATTGGGTACAGCAACGGAACAGGTATTGGTGACTTGAAGACTTCCTGAACACAGGAAGAACTAGCATGTAGTATTAGTATTTGGCAGTTGCTCCACACTCTGTCTCACCTCAAGCCTGAGTCCGCAATCTTACCAGTGCCTGGTGCTACTTTATGTGAAGAAGCAATATCAGTTAATATGAATTGCCATTGCAAATTGGCTGCTTTGTTTGGAAGACTAATGGACAGCACATTTCCAGCTTCACACCAGTTCTGAGATTACTGTCTGCTTCTCCTACTTCAAAAGGGACACTGGAGGAGGTTTAGCTCTCACAACCATCTCTAAGAAGCACAGAGGTGTAAACAAAAAAAAGGTTGCTACTAGGTTTGTGCAATTCGGCCAAAACACTTGGCGTTTTGGGATCCATTGTCTTGTTGGCTGGCCCCTCATTCTGTTTACTGGGAAGTTATTCAAATAGGGAGGCATCTTTCCATTTTCATTAGGCAAAGCTTTGGCCCATTGGCTACAATGGGAAACTTTAAAGTCTCAATTCGCATTCATTTTAACGCCTATCTATATGAAACCTACCTCAGTGTTAGACCCTATTTACAACTGCAGGCCTGCCAGGTTTCAAAACAATTAACCAATCTATTGATTTTTTAGAATTATTTTAAGTTTTAACCATAACAGTTTTTAAAATAAGACAAACTGCAAGAGAGGGTTCTGGGAATTGTAGTTGCAGGTTCTGTACATTCTCAGCTAGTTAAAGCATGGCCACAATCAGGCCTATTGGCTGAGAAACAGAGAGAGAGAGAGAATTCAACTCCCATCATGCTCCTCCCTGTGCAAGTGTTGCTGGGAAAGCAAGTTCCCAGCAGGGTCCTCTCTGAAGTAGGAGCCTAGGAAACAAAAAATGGAGAGACGCTGCCGCCGCCGGGGAGGGAGACAAAAACACTGGCCTGCAACAATCCCATCTTCAGAAGCCCCACCAGACCCCTGCTTCAGGTATGTTGCACTTATCCTCTGTAGTAGCCGATAAAATCTGGCTCTCTCAATCTGTTTTGCAGAGCTTTTCAGTTCCCTCACACCTGGTCTGTTTTCAGAGATTACATTAAATGGACCACCGAGTATTACAAATAATTTTAGTTCAAACTGATTCGGGATCAAGTCTAGTTTCTGCCAAGGCTATCACACTTCACAGCTCCACATGGTCTAGTGAATCTTACCTAGTAGGCCGGAAAGGAAGCCTGGATAACAGTATGGCAAACCTCCATTTTGAGAGTGTATG